AATATTTCTTTGTCAGATGTGTATGGTTTAATAACATCATTATAAAACGTAACGATACAGGAGAGCATTTTTCAATTAGATTACCAAGAGATGTTGTAAACCCTGAACATCCGAAAAGAACTGACTACCTTATCCGGGATGCTAAAGGAAGATTGTCTTGGAAATCTTCAATTTCCAAGATCAAGAAGACACGGTAATTTTTTTTCTTTTAACATTTTACATTACCAAAGATAACACAGTAAATTCAATTTTTCCAAATTCTTAAAAAAAAAATGTGTGAGCAATTTGTTTAATTCTGATACATCATGTGTAAAAACATGCTGAAGAATTAAATGAATTGTTCACACATTTTTTTTATTATCTTGCAATGACCTTGACCCACTTCTTAAACTTAGAAATTTCTGCAAAATTTTAAAATAATGATAATATCAATTTCTACCACTACTAAAATTAAGGTGGTTTGTTTAATTCCACCCCCTTTACCCCCACCAGTACATAAAGGTATAAAAGACGCTTGATATTGCACATGATTCATTCTTAGATTGGAGCTAGCAGAGGCAAGTTTAACTATGAATTCCCCAGCTACAATAATAATTAAAAGAAACTTAAAAAACCTTCAAGAAGCATTTGCATTCAGGGGAAGTTTAGAAAAATATTTAAATCATAGTGTGACATGTCATTTTACTTTGTGGAAGGAAGAGAGAAACATCTGGAACTCAGAAGCAAACGGGTTGAAACTAGAATTAACTGATGTACGATTTAATAAAATAATTCGAAGGCTAGTGGAAATGTTAGAAAAAGGGTATATTGTGACTGCCACATTCTACATAAAACCAGACCGCAATAACTAAAAACAAAATGGAGTAAAGGTTAAGGGTGGGGGTAAAGGTAAATGGTGGGGGTTTGTCTATATAACATGTTTGCTGAGGTACAATCAGTTACTTCAGATTTACCACTCTTGTACATTATGTCTCCTGTGGACAATATTTTCCCGACAACTTCTTTTTTAAAAACCTTATTGGAAAACATTGTTTTTGAAGCTGGTTCAGAGGAAGAAGACATAGACTTGGAGGAAGAATCTTTATCCGAAGAAGAGTTGGAATCGGATGGTGACGAAAATTTGGAAGTATTGACTGATGAAGAGTTAGATGAAGAAGATAGAAGTTTTCTACTTGTTGAAGATTCATCATCTACTGAAGAGATGGTATGCTCGGAGAAACTTGTTGAGCTAAGGGAAACACCTACAACAAGTCATATAATGTTTAGTGCAATGTTTAGAAGTAGAAGACGATTGTTTGACTCTGACTCTGACTCCGATAGTGATTAATGTACAAAAAATAAAATGAGTGGGAAAAATGGGTGGGATGGGGGTTTGTTTTGCAAATCATAAATTTCCACAACAATAACAGTAAATTTTCTATTTCTAAATTTTTAATCTCTGAAATATTTAATTTATTTTAAATCCTGATAATCATAAAATCATAAAATACACAGTAAATCGGCTTTTTCAAAATTTTGAAAAAAATGTCTGAGCAATTTGTTTAATTCTGGTATATCATGTTTAAGAAAACATGTTGCTGGGTTAAATAAATTGTTCACACATTTTTTTATTATTTTACAATGACCTTGACCTACTTAAAGGATTTAAATAAATTCCATGGTTCAACAATAAGGAAAAATGTTACCCATTTCCCCTACTACTATAAAGTAAAGTGGGGAGTGGTCTACCCCCACCACTATATGGAGGTATAAAAGAGATTTGACATCCTGCATTAAACATTCTTATTTCTGGAACTCGCAAACGCAAGTTTAGTCAAGATGGATAAAAAAAAGATTAGACATAATGAAAGAGAAAGAAGGAGGGTGATGAAGCTAAATGAAACATTTGAGGTATTGAGAACCATACTCAAAGCTAAAAAAGGAACGTCTAAACTCCAAATTATAAATTTATCAATTGAAAGAATAAGGTTTTTAGAAAAGGAAGTTGAAGAAGCAAGAATGAGGACTGTGGGAGAAATGAAAGAAGCTAGTGCTATAATTGATAACCACGTTGAAAAATTAAAAGAAGATGATGATGAAAAAATGCTGTCGGACATGATACAATTAATGAATGGTGAAATGGAAGAGCGAATTCTGTCGGAAATGATGGATTTATTGGATAGTGAAATTGATGAAGAGTACTAACAAATAAAAAAATGGGACGTGGGTAGGTTGGGTTTGTCTTGGAAATCTTCAATTTCCAAGACTATAACACAGTAAATTGGGGCTTTTCCAAGTTTTGAACAGTAAATAACTTTTTTCCAAATTTTGAATAAAAAAATGTCTGACCAATTTATTTAGTTCTGGTATAACATGTGTAAAAACGTGTTTCAGAACTAAACGAATTGTTCACACATTTTTTTATTATCCTGCAATGACCTTGACCTACTAAACCAGAATAGTTAGTAAAAAATAAAATACCTTGTTTTTCTATAAATATGTTTGAAAGTTGAAGAATAGCCTGTATTTACGTTAGATTATAAAGCAATTGGGAAATGGGGTGATGTCATTAATTTAATAGTAGTAGTAGAGGGGAGAGAGGGGAGGGAATGGTATAAATAGGGGTGGATGTTCACACCTTTCATCAGTATGTTGCTGCTTCTTGAATAGAGAACATCTACAACATGCTACGCTGCGCCATTTGTCAAGCCGAATTCGAGGATGAAATAGATCTTGTACTACATGAAATAGTCGATCATCCTACAAATGCAGAGGAATTGGAAGGATATCAAGACTTGATTCAAGAATTGTATAAAATAGGACAAAAAGAAGAAGAAGAACCCAAACCATCTACTTCAAGAGATCGAGGAGAAGAAGAACCAAAACCATCTACTTCCATGCTACGCTGCGCCATTTGTCAAGCCACATTCGAGGATGAAATAGATCTTCTACTTCATGAAATAGTCGATCATCCTACAAATGAAGAGGAATTGGAAGGATATCAAGACTTGATTGAAGAATTAAATCAAATAGGACAAGGAGAAGAGGAAGAACCCAAACCATCAACTTCAAGACCAAGTGTTATTCATTATGCACCCAAACGCCCAACTTCACCTTCAACTGATGCATCTCCAACAAACGTGGAACTACACGCTCATGCTCTACCGGGTAAAGTGGTAACACATTTTAAAATTGACAATGCTACATTAAAACTGGAAGAATTTATGTTTAGTGCAAAAGGACTAGTAATTGAAACGCTACAAAATGAATTACAAAGATTAAATTTTATAAAGTTTGGACTATTGCTGGACACTATGTTTACCAACATGCAAAATGAAACATCGCCTAGAGGGTTTTTAACAAAAAACAGAACTATCATGTTTGGCTCAGATATTGAATTAATTGTAGATGAATGTTTTGAAGAACTTTTGACAAAATTGCAAGAACATGAAGGCAGGGGATCAGGATGGACTGTATTGAGCATATCAGGTTTGGATATAAGAGTGCATAAACATGGATATGGAATGAGAGGAAGTAGCTATATTCCTCTACCCAAGAAAATTGCTAATACTCTATCTTGCATAAATGTACAAAATGATGATACAGAATGTTTTAAATATTCAATGTTAGTAAAACATATCAAAAACAATCACCCGGAAAAGGTAGGAAGAGAATATAAAGAAGTGCAGCACAATTATAATTTTCAAGGAATGAGCTACCCTGTAAAAATCAAAGACATCACCAAGTTTGAAAAACAGAACCCAACTGCTTCTGTAAATATATATGGTTTAGATTCATCAAACAATGTATATCCTCTACGTATAAGTGCACACGAACTAAATAATCACACTGACTTGTTATTAATTACGAAAGGTGAAATATCGCACTATGTATATATTAAGAACTTTAACAAACTCGTTACTTCCCAGATTTCAAAGCATGGGGGATGTAAAACAATTTGTAAAAGATGTTTCTGTCATGTGAACAAATCTATGAGAAATGGAGGGTCTGAATGGTTGTTAGAACATAAAAGGTTATGCAATGGAAATGAAGAAGTTAAGATTAACCTACCACCAGCTGATAGAGCATTTGTACAGTTTAATAATGTAGTTCATCAATATAGAATTCCTATTGTCGTGTATGCTGATTTTGAATCTACTCTACTACCATTAGAACATCAAGAGGAGGACACATCAAGAAGAAACAAGTACCAACTACATTCACCCAACAGTTTTTGTCTACTCATCAAGTCAACACTTTCCAAAGAATATTTACAAGATTATGGACTGACAGCTGAACCAAAAGTGTATCGTGGTGAAGATGCAGCTAAACACTTTGTCGACGAGCTGTACAATATAGCTGAAAAAGTAGAGGCAATTTATACACAGGTAAAACCTATGACACCTATGTCACCCGATGAAGTTCAAGAATACGATTTATCAACATCATGTTATTTGTGCAAGAAAACATTTACAGAAGATAATCATAAAGTGCATGACCACGACCATCTGACTGGAAGCTACAGAGGTGCTGCGTGTAACGCTTGCAACTTAAACTATAAAATTCCTAACTATATTCCAATTGTAATGCACAACTTAAGCGGCTATGATGGACATTTTATAATACCTGAATTAGGAAGGGACAATGGTAAAATTGATGTATTAGCCGTAACGATGGAAAGGTTTATTAGTTTTTCAAAAAAGGTTGGTAAAATGAAACTCAGATTTCTTGACTCCTACAGATTTATGCCTTCTAGTCTTATGAAACTATCAGAAAATTTGACAAGAGAAAATTTAATAGAAACAAGTAAAATAGTAGACAACAACAAATTGGATTTAGTTCTTCGAAAAGGAGTCTTCCCCTATGATTACATCGATGGATTGCACAGATTTGACGAGACATCACTTCCTCCACCAGAAGCCTTTACCAACAAGCTGAACAATTCAGAAATATCACCAGAAGATTACCAACATGCATGCAGAGTTTGGAACGAACTTGATATGGAAACATTAGGGGATTATTCAGATTTTTATGTTAAACTCGATGTAACTCTGCTTGGTGATGTGATGGAAGAATTCAGAAACACCTGTTTGGGAGCATACGGATTAGACCCTCTTCATTCTTACACCTCTCCAGGATTAGCTTGGCAGGCGATGTTAAAAGAAACCAATTGCAAACTTCAACTTTTAACAGATATTGATATGGTGCTGATGGTTGAGTCCGGTGTCAGAGGAGGATTGACTCAAAGCGTTGTAAGACATGTTAAAGCCAACAATAAAGATCTGCCAAACTACAACCAGCAAGAGCCATCAGTTTATCTTGGGTATTTTGATGCAAACAATTTGTATGGATGGGCAATGTCCAACCCCCTTCCATACGATAACTTTAAATGGATCGACCCAGAGTCAATTGGAGATATAGTTCAAATTCCAAAACATGGTGACACAGGATATATATTAGACTGCGATTTCGAATACCCAGAACATCTACACGACCTTCACTACGATCTTCCTCTTTTACCAAAAACAGAAATTTCACCAACTGGAAAACATCCTAAATTAATGATGAATTTAAATAACAAGCAAAGATATGTAGCGCACTTTTGGACTGTACAACAAGCACTTGAATTAGGACTTCGTCTAACCAAAGTACACAGAGTTTTGGAATTTTCTCAATCTTGCTGGCTGAAACCCTACATCGATTCCAACACTACAAGAAGAGCAGCAGCAACGACAGCCTTCCAGAAGGACTTTTTTAAATTAATGAACAATGCGATATTCGGTAAAACTCTGGAAAATAAAAGGAAACACAAAAATGTAAAACTTGTAACAGATGCTAGGAAATTGGAGAAACTTGTACAGACACCTAACTTTGGATCATCAGTAATCATTAATGAAAACCTTGTTGCCGTATCAATGAAGAAAACCAGTATAAAAATGGATCGACCTTTGTATATAGGAATGTCAATATTAGATATATCGAAAACGCACATGTATGATTTTCACTACAACAAGATGGTTGCACATTATGGAAGAGAGAACATAGTTATAACTTACATGGATACAGATGCATTTATTTACAAGATAATTACTCAAGATATGTATAAAGATCTTCGCACATTTGTATATAAAGATGAATTTGATTTTTCTGACTATCCTAAAGATCATCCGAACTACGATCAAGACAGAAACAAGAAAGTATTAGGGAAATTTAAAGATGAGGCTAACGGAGTGTTACTTGAAGAAATCGTAGCACTTATATCAAAATTGTATGCTGTGAAACTACATGATGACAACATTATAAAAAAGGCAAAAGGTGTAAAGAATTTGTATTTGAAGAAAAATGTACTTTTTGAAGACTACAAGCAAGTGTTGTATGAAGATAAAGTTATAACTGCACACTTCAACACAATCAGGAGTTATAATCATCAACTGTACAGCGTGACAGAAGTTAAGAAGGCGCTCTCCTGCAACGATGACAAACGACACATCCTACCAGACCAGATCCACACACTTCCATTTGGTCACTATTCCCTTAACCCTATCGACTAATTACCTTTTCATCGTCCTACACCACTTATCCTTTCTCCTTTCCGTAAAATTGGGGGAACACAGCATTGTCCGCTGTGTTCCCCCTTTTTTACACAAGGTTTGAATGACCTTGACCTATATAAGGAGATGCAAGAAAAAAATGAAAATCATTACTTTGCCAACATTGACAGTGAAAACAACATAATGGCTTTTAAAGAAAACGTTGTAAATGAGCTACACAAACCTGCAAGAGTAAACTTTCCAAGAAGAAATACAACTGTAAAAGGAATAAATGATTTGTATCAAGCAGATTTGATTGAAATGCGGCCATATAGTAAAATAAATAAAGGACATAATTATATACTTACAGTGATTAACTGTTTTACCAAAGTTGCAGATGCATTACCATTAAAGGATAAAACTGGTAAAAGCGTAACACAAGCCATGGAAATCGCTATAAAGAGAGATAAAAACAAAATGAAACATTTACAAACTGATGATGGCAAAGAATACTTTAATAAAAGTTTTTCAGAGTTAATGGAAAAATACAACATAAACCACTACTCAACCAAATCTGAAAAAAAAGCGGCTATAATTGAAAGATTTAATAGAACGTTAAAAGGAGCGATGTATAAAATGTTTTCAAACAGAGGAACCTACTTATGGATTGATATTTTACCAATGTTAATAAGTGATTACAACAACAGGTTTCACAGAACTATTGGGATGACGCCAAATGAAGTAAACAAGAAAAATGCTAAACTTGTATTAAAAAAGAATAAAGCACAATACAAAACCTAAAGTTGAAATAAAGAAGCCTAGAAAATTCAATGTAAATGATAAAGTTCGAATAAGTAAGTATAAAACGATATTTACTAAAAAATATCTACCTAATTGGACAAATGAAGTATTTACCATATACAAAGTGCAACCAACTATACCAGAAACATACATATTAAAGGATAATAAAGGCAATTTGTTACAAGGTGCGTTCTACGGACATGAATTATTGAAATCTACAGTAGGTGATGTATATCTTGTTGAAAAAGTGTTACAAAGGAAAAAAGACCAAGTTAAAGTACGATGGCTAGGTTTTAACAAAACAGAAGATTCTTGGATACCTATAAAAGACCTAATTTAACGGGAACAGCTCATTGTACCATTGGATTTCGAATAAGATGGAGATTGTTCATCATAAAGATCAATTCAACATTAGTAATATTGATGATTACACTGTTGATAACGACACAATCAACACTGGCAAACATGGTAGTTTACTTCCAAACACAGTCAGATGTATTATAAGTGGTCCTTCAAACTGTGGAAAAACTAATGTCGTATTTAATTTGATTACAAATCCTAAGGATTGAGGTTTAATAACTTATACATATTTCAAAGTCACTACATCAGCCAAAGTATCAATTGTTGGAGAAAATCATATCGAAGGTGTCAGGTGTTAACTTTTATAAATTTAACGCCAGTGATAAAGTTTTGCAACCAAACCAAGCTAAACCATATTCAGTATTTCTATTTGATGACGTTTCATGTGAAAATCATGATACTATTAGGAACTATTTCGCCATGGGAAGACATAATAATATCGACAGCATATATATAGGACAAACATACAGTAAAATTCCAAAGCAGCTTATCAGAGATAATGCAAATGTTATAATTTTGTTCAAACAAGATGAAACCAACCTGAAACACGTATATAACGATCATGTAAATGCTGATATGTCATTTGATAAGTTTAAACAAATTTGTGGAAAAGCATGGGCAGAAAAGTATGGATTTTTGGTCATTATGAAAGAACAAGCCATAAAAGACGGACGATATAGAATAGGGTTTGATAAATACGTTCTGCTTCACTAAATATCACTATTTCAAATCAACACTTCGTACTGTAAACATGGCAAGTCAAGAAAAGCTCTTAAAAGAAATAAAATCACTTAGTGATTCTATTAGACATAAAAACAGAGCTCTGAAGTTAGGTATAAGCGAAAGAGAAAAGTTTATAGAATCAACGTTTAAACCCGTTACTGATCCTTTAAACAGATTAGTTAAGAATATTGAAAAACCTTTCGAAGGAGATGCTATTCTACCGATTTCTAAGTATGAAAAAGAATCAAGAGATTATGAACAATACAAACAATTTCAATCAACTGAAGAAAGTGGTGAAAGCGAAGAAAGTGAAGAAACAGAAGAAACAGGAGAAACAGAAGAAACTGAAGATTCAAGAGAAAAGGAAGGATTTTCCGCAGGTCAAGAAGAAGGATCTACTAATCCTACAAATTTAAGTACATTAAGCACAAACATAGCATTCAAAGGGAATTTGGGCAGAAAATATTTATTAAACATGTTACATTCAACACAGGCTAATCGAAGATATCACATTTATGGAGCTAGACTAGAAGACAATGGTATTATGATTGGAGACAGTAATTTGGATATTGATGAAAACGATAACATCCTTATTGGTAACCAAAAATATAAAGGTACAACAGGACTGTTTGAACTTATTTTTAAAAACAAACCTGGTAAATATACCAAAAAAGACCTATCAGTGTTTAAAAATATACTAAATGATACAAATGCACATAAAAAGCAGTATTCCAAAGATTTGCCCATTTATCGAAATCGATCAATAAAATACACAAGTGTCATAGCTGATCTTTTTCCAACACAAGTGAAAAAATCTCAACTTAAAAGAAGAGCTATATCTACAGCTGAATTAAATGTGTTACACAAAAGACCAAGAACCAACGAACCTACATCTTCAGGAAAGGATTATTAAAAAGTCTATACAATACCAACATAATATATTATAATGATGTCAATAAGCTGGTTGATCGAATGAGATTATTACATGAAGCCATGGAAGCCGGTCATACCGGATTGGACAATGAATGGGTAGCTTTAATCGATGAACTACGAATCGAAGGATTATTGCTTAATCATCGCATATAAAAGGAGGACAAGAATCGAGGGAACTCAGTTGAATCATGAGCGTGGACAAGTTTGGAAGGTATTCCAATTTTGGAGAAAAACCAAAATCCAATGGTAAAAGATATAGTTTACCATTAACAGCTGAAGGAGATTATAACATAAGCAGCAAACGATTGAAGTTTGTAAAAGATCCAGAAGATGATAATGATGCAATAAATTTGAAAACTTTAAAAAGTGAAAAATTGTTGAACCTACAACTTCAAAACGACTCTTATGATGCTAAGTCTCATAGAATAACAAATGTTGGTGAACCAATAGAAAACACCGATTCCGTCACCAAAGATTATTTACTTTCAAAACTGTCAAATACTTTACAAGTTAATAATGAAGTTTACGATGTTAAAAACAGAAGAGTTACAAACTTAGCTGATCCTGTCGATAGTCAAGATTCAGTCAATAAAGGATATTTACATTCTATAATCCCTGAAAGAAAAGAAGATAGATTCTCTTTTTATAACTTTGTTATAAATGATATAGGATACCCTAAAGAAGATTCGGATGCAGTTAACCTCAAATATGTTAAAGATAATTGTATTATTCACGATAATGAACAAATTGATTGCAAAGGTAAAATATTACATAAGGTTAAAGAAGGATTAAAACCAACAGATGCTGCCACTGTAAGTCAAATCATGTTACAAAGAATGGAAATTGGCATGCTGAGAACAAAAAGATAACTAATGTAAAAGGTGGAGTAAATCCTGAAGATGTGGTAGTTTTTAAACAAGTTCCTGTAATAACCGATGAATATAAACATAATAATATAAAGACTACCACTTTTGATTGTAAAAACTTACCATTAGCAAATGTTCATAATGCAGTTTTACCTCACGAAGCGGTAACTTTGGATCAGATGAAAGATCATATAAAAAGCCAGTGTATAATAAAAGATGAACAAAAATGAAGAAATATACACATGTAATAATAAAAGAATTACAAATCTTGAAGATCCGCAACAAATGGATAATGCTGTCAATGTAAACTATCTTGCTAGACTTTTGGGTACTGTAATGTTTGATTTTCACAATATGATACCAGCACATCCAGGACATAACAAAGTGCATCCAGATAATAGAGATCAATGGATTGATAGGGTCATTATGAAGCAATATTTTATGTCTAGCAAAACAAAGATGCTTAGAACTAAACCTGTAGAAAGATTTCACCATTAGAAAAATGTTTACAATGCAGTTTTACCTCACGAAGCGGTGACTTTGGATTAGATGAAAGATAATATAAAAAAGCAAGTGTTAATAAAAGATGAACAAAATGAAGAAGTACACACATGTAATGATACAACATATTCAAAATATAACAAAGAAGATGAAAATACAAAAAATATAATATGGATGGATAAAGGTACATAATAAGAAATCAATTCGTAAATGAAACATTCATTGTCAAACACTTGAGGAGTGAAGCCGATGTGGGTACATTCCCCTATAAATAGAGATGTCAAAGGTTAAGCACATCAGTCGTGATATAGAGAGCTTGAAGAGAGGAAGAGGATTGACATCATCAGCAGTTTCTCTATTATCTAAACCAATTGGAGCAATTGTTAACAAAACAATAGATTTACTACCAGTAGAACTGCATTTGCCTGGAGGATATCAATACTGTGGACCTGGAACAAAATTGAAAAAACGTCTGGAAAGAGGAGATTCTGGAATAAATAAACTAGATCAAGCTTGCAAACAGCACGATATAGCATATTCAAAGTTTGCAGATACAAAAAATAGATCCATAGCGGATAGAGCGCTTGCTGAAAAGGCTTGGCAAAGAGTAAAATCTAGTGACGCAAGTTTTGGTGAAAAAGCAGCAGCTTTGGCAGTAACAGCAGCAATGAAGACAAAAACTACGTTTGGAGGAGGAAAGAGGAGGAAAGGCCGAAAACGAACGGTTAAAAAGCAAGGAGGTAGTATTAAAAAGAAAAGAAGGAATAATCAAAATAAAAAAAACAAGAAACCAACAATATGGTCAATGATAAAAAAAGGAGGAGGATTATACTTAAGACCATACCGTGTGTATTAAACAAGAAAAAACAAATACTAATTCCAAACAAAGAGTTGACAAATAAAGAATTAATTATATACGCTTCTTGTATGAAAATACCATTTTTTAGAGGAGTGTTTATGAAAGATGCATTGCCCGGTAAAATATGGAAAAATGAGACTGAATAGTTAATTTAGAAAACAGTGAAGGTCCTGGCACTCATTGGATATGTTATAAAAAACTTGATCAAATTATTTATTATTTCGATAGTTACGGTAATATGCCACCACCTAAAGAGCTTCAACGTTACTTTCGCACAGCAAAAGAAGTATTTTACAACTATAACAGAGAACAACCTGACGATACAACAATTTGCGGACACTTATGTTTAGATTTTTTAGCTAGAAGCGTTAGTCAACTTTAAGATGTCTTCCTATACGGTCTCATTGACCGGCACTTCATCAACTCTGCGCAGTATTCTATTTCCAGCTCTACGATTGCAAAAAGGAAGATTATGGAAGCTGCATTATTGGATTTAACAACATACAATTCTATTCCAAATATTTCTGAAGGAGTCAATAACAAATTACACTATTACAAAAGCAAAAATAATTTGGGAGAATTAACACCAATGAAAGAAATTAGTTTACCGACAGGATCTTACGAAATAGACCATATTAACGAATTTATACAAAAACAAATGAAAAACGAAGAACTTAACGAACTTGTTCAAAAGGAATCAGAAAAAGAATATATAACAATAAGAGGAAATAACAATACCATGAAAGCTGAAATAACTTCTTCCTATTATATTGATTTTACTCAAAAACATTCAATTGGAGGATTATTGGGATTTTCTGAAACAACTCCAATACTAGAACCTAAAAAGACCTATTCTGGTGATAAAACTGTAACAATACTGAAAGTTAATACGATAGACATTACATGTAACATTATACAAGGATCATACAGAGATGGAGAGAATAGTCATATATTGCACACATTCTATCCGACAGTCGCCCCAGGTTTTAAGATTGTGGAAAAGCACAAAACTGGTGTACCTTCCCTTAAACACCAGTGTGGTTTCAGACATCGTGTTGAACATACTAGATCAAGACGGAAACCTCATAGACTTCAGAGAAGAACGTATTACGATCAGGATTCACATAAAAGC